AAATACATAAAACACCCCACCCCACTCTCCAAACATAAAATCACGCCCATCTCCAATAAATATAATATTTAATATTTTGATGACAAAAAATGGCTCAAATCTGCTAAATAAATTTGACTTTGGGAAGAGTATAGAATTTCAAACTGAAAAGTATTGGGTATAAACGCTGTACAAATATTTTCTTTATGTACTTGTGAAAAAATGAACATAAACCAGTAAAACTTAAAAAAAACTTACGTAACTTTAAAAAGGAATCAGTACTAAAGAAATTTCTTTGTAAAAGTCAGAAATTGCCAAATTATCTGTTTTTAAAGTTTTCAATTTTGTAAACAACATTGTGACATGCCACAGACAGAAAGCTGTAAAATGATTTGAAAATGAGTTGATTTTCTTGAGTGATTCGGACAGGGTTTATTTATCATCCACGCTGCTGTCCTGTTTCTTTGCAGCTCATCCTGTTCGGCCTGAACAACCAGCTGGTGGTTGCCTATAAAGAAGAAAACACCATGGCTCTGAAAAACCTTTTCCTGAAAGGCTACAGTGGGGTGGACGAGGACGACTACAGCGTTGCTGTCTACACGCAGCATGCCGTCTACGACAGTCTGGTTTATCTTCTCGACCAGGTAACTCTGACAAGTGGATTATTTTTACTTTTATTGCCAAGATAAACTKCAACTCTCAAGTTTGCATAACTTGAAAATAGAACAGATGACTCTTTCTTTTAAAGAGATTGAATTGAGTATTATGAGTCTTTGCGTATGCCTTTTATTAACCTTAAAGTTTTGATTGTATTTTTAATACAGTTTACATATTTATCTTTCATTACCAATACAAAGACTACGTTTTTTGACTTCATAATGCATTAGTGGAGTATTTATTCCATTGGTGGACAAAATTGGTGCAGTTTCTGCCTTTTAAACATTTCCAGACGCTACCGGGGGCTTTTATTTTGAACACTAGGCTGCCAGACAACTTCCTCCAGTTCTCACCRTTTTAGTTTGACATCCTTACAAAAAAATAAAATTTAAAAAAATGTCAAAAGGCTTTTAAGGAATTTCAGGGGTGAATGTTAAGGGGTTAGTAGGGGTGTAACAATAATTCGATCTATATATTGTTTTAAATGATTAATGATTCAGTTAAATCAAGGTGAAACAAAAACATTGATCATATCGTTGTCATATGCCAGATGTGGATTGATATCCTATTGGTCGCAGACTTGTGAATTGAATTGAATTGAACTGAAATCATGTCTTGACAGACTTTGTCATATCGAGGAACGTATCCTCGTCCAAACAAATGGATTTATGTTATTGCCGGTAAAGCTGGTGTTTTACACCCTTAGTGGTTAACACTGTTGCCTCACAGCAAGAAGRTCCTGGCTTCTTTCTGTGTGGAGTTTTTCCATGTCCTCATCGTGAGTTTTCTCTGAGTACTCTGGTTTCATCCCACAGTAAAAAACAAAACAAAACAAAAAACGTGCATGTTAGGCTGCCTTCAGGTCAACACATCTCAGTGGGATTTCTCTGGTTAAAGGTCAATAAATAAGTAAATAAACTTAGATCCGTGTAGAAGACTCTATCAGAAACGACAGCAATGACAAAGCTGTGTAATAATTAACCTGCGTGGTGATTTACTGGATGTAATCTTCCCGTTTCTCATAAAGAGGGCAGTGTAAAAAGCACGTGAGGTTGCACAATGGCCACACAAAAATAATAATAATAATAATAATTTTCAGACTATATTGACTTGTCTTGACTTGGCTAGTCTTGTCTGCTTTACTAAAACAAAGTGTTCTTGTTTCACGTTTTCCTTTTTAATGTTTACCATTTAGTTGCAGAAAGATGATTAGGTTCATGAGAGAATAATTTCTGTCAGTATTTATCTAACATAATAGGTAAATGTCTACGTAACGTCAGAAGTTGAGAAATGTGTGTTATCTGTTTTGGTTGTTCTGTGACAGCCCTGTCTGCTGTGGGAGGAAACTTACAGATGTCTGATCCTGGAGCCCTGCTTTTTAACTGAGACGTCTTGTTTTACAGTACAGCCAGCTGGGTCAGCTCTCCGTGGGACCGATCAGTTATGCAGAGGACGAAGATGGGCAGGTGAAGCCTCTCACCATCTGTAAGGAGTACTACAAAAAAAGCAGCTTGGAGCCCTCGGACGAGGCTTATGATATCGATGCCCAGCTTGAGACCAGTGAGATTGTATTCTACGTTTTCAGCTGTAATCCATCTTTATTGATAACAGGAGCTGTTGCTTCTTTTAAAATGGAAACAATTTTTTTTTAACTTAATCCCCTGTTGTGCATATGAGTTATCGATTGGAAACTCAATGTCAGTGTTTTATTTTATTTTTTTACAGTAACTCTCCTTCCTTTCAGACTGTATGTCACATGCTCCAAAGACCGCACACGAGTGGAAAACTCAGAACGCCTCCTTCTTTGAACTGGACTTTTACAGGTATCCATTTTATCTGCGTTCTCTGTTTTTAGCTCTGTTTTTTTTAAATGACCCTTTTACATAACTTATTCATCTTTCATTTGAGGCTTGTTGACATCAAAATAACCTTTGAGCTGAAGGGAATCAACCTACAGACCGTCCGATCCCGGGAGCTGCCTGACTGCCACTCCTTCTATGTCACGGTATGCGTTGCAGTGCACGGGGAGTGGAAACAAAACTGCTCAGTGGGGTATTCAGGTGCATTCTTTAATCGCTTTTTTAAATTTTGTCCTCAGATTACGTTTGATAATCAGTGTCACAGTGGGAAGGTGAAAATATTCCTGGACATAGATTTTGAAAGCAGTGCATGCCGGGACTGGAAGATATCTGGGACTGGTAAGGTGGAGCTCTTCAACTGCACATTTTGTAACCAAGGCTCTCCCTCCCTGGGGACTCGTGTATCGATGGTGCGTACACACAAAAAGGTTCCACACGCACTCACGTCAGGATGTACCAAAACAAACGTTGCGTAAGTCCACACAAACTTTTGACCTGCCGTGAGAATGTGTAGACCGTCACACAAACCGTTTCAATTAGGGATGTTCTGATAACAGTGTTTCTCAAACCAAGCACAAGTAAGAGTACCTCAGTTTGGGTACTGGGTACTTACTGAGTTAGAATACCCTGATGGAACTCAATAATCCAGGRAGAAAAATCTTAAAAAATAAAAAAGTAAAGTAGGTCCAATCAACAAAGAAGAACTCATCCCTATTTAATGTTTTATTTTTTTAGATACTGTGTTAGAATTTAAAAATTACACAATCACTTAAAGCAGTGGTGTCCAAACTACAGCCCACGGGCCAACTGCGGCCCACGATACTGTTTTTACTGGCCCACAGCAAATTCTGAAAATTTAATTGAATATGGCCTGCACAAGAAGCAGTCCATTTATTGCGGAGCCTCTAGCTCCGGCTCTGAGCATTTAATCTGGGCGGAAGAGGGCTTATTTTAAAGCTCAGGATCTGCGCTACAACCTGGTGTGGTTGCAGGTTCCTGGGACGTTCCCCCGCGGAGAAATACAGTGGGGAAAATAAGTATTTAGTCAGTCACCAATTGTGCAAGTTCTCCCACTTAAAAAGT